CTCGTGTTTAATTCATGCAAGAGCCAACAGGAAGGCTGTGGTACAGACGTGTGGCACACTCAGGAGCACTGACGATAGCTGGGACCACCGCCAGACAAACCGCTACCTTCACTGCTGCTGCACCGTTGCCGTGGCAACCTCCAAAGAGACATGCACAGAGAGAAAGGAACGCAACTCACTCTTTGGTCAACTGAGAGCAGGACTTGAGGAGGAAGCGGTTGACAGCAGTGTCCTGGTAGATGAGGTCCGGGGGTGCTGTGGGGCTCTTGAGGTTCAAGCAGCGGACAATGATGTAGAGCACCGTGGCCACTGCCGCCAGCTTCATGCCATCAAACATTGCTGGCATCTCGGGAGAGATGGTGTGCACGTCGGATTCGTGGGCGCTCATGATTATTCTAGAAAACAAAAGCAGCCAATAAATGCAGAACTCTATTTTTAAACTGAATTTTAATTTAAAAAGACATTTCTTGTACAAAAGTTTTTTCCCCCCCAGTTCTAGGGATTAACAATGGACTTTAAAGAAATAAATAAATTAAATATTCCTCAGGTGTCCTGCAGCAACACATCTGTGGGAATATAAACTCAAAGGAACTCAGATAAAGCACAGTCAGATAAGACAGACCTGCTTATTTAATACACTCCCTGCAATTACATTACAGCTTAAACTGTGCCAATAGGAAGCCTTGCTGCATAGAAGATAGAGGTGCTGACAATGCTTTAAATAAATCATTACATATAGCAGACATGGTGAATCCTAACTAGCATTTCTCCCACTATAATGTGCCAGCACAAATTTACATTTTAGCAGATTTATTAAATGTATTAATGTTCACAGCTAATAAAGTTTCCGCAGGTGTGAAATTATAGGTAAACAAACAGAAACTATAAAGGGCACAGAAGAGGCTCAATGCCTTCTATTGCAAAGAAAAAAGGAAGTTCTGATCACTGATGTGCAACGCAAATGTTTGTGTGATGTTGCCAGGCAGCCACATCAAACTGACATAAATAGAAACAGTCATAACTGAAAGCTAAAATAAACTAATATACTTACATTTTACCTTTAAGTTCGCCTCCAATGAAAACTCGTTTCAAAAGGTCCAAAGAAGTGTGAAGTCACAGTGATGTGGTCCTGAAAAGCACATAAAGCAAAACACACACAAAGACCTTCACTGTACAGTATCAAAAAGTTATCATTTTTCCTTAAATAGAAGTTTCATCTAAAATTAAGTAAGAATAATGACACCACTTAATTTGCATGGTAAGTAACTGCTAAACGATTACACATCCTTTTTTTTTTTTAAAGTTTCATGAATCTAAATATTTTAGTTTTGACTGGTGTCCTAAGCTCTTTCAGACACCTGTCGGCTGTACTTATTTTCTAGCAAGTTCCTGTTGCCATAACCAAGACTGTCAATGTCAAACAGGAAGTTATAACGCTGCTTCCAGAAAACCTAAATGTAACACTTACGAAAAGTCGGCCTCAGACTTATTAGACCTTATTAAAAAGTAAGGCAATTATACAGCTATCACGTGTAAACAAACTTAGCATCAAAAGGCGACGGTGTAAGACAAAAAAGGAGAAAAAAAATCCAGCCGTATAAAAATAGCTTAAAAAAAATAACCCCACTAATACCCGTGTGTTTCACTGGAAACCAATCCAGATAGTATATCTGACACATTAATACAACTAATGCCAAGAGACGGCGTGTAAACAGCTTTAATTTTACTCTCTAGTCTTTGTCACGACTCACAACAATCCTGAGACGCACCTTAACAGCCACAGGGGCACACAGATTCCATCAAGTAGCTAACCCAGTGAGAAACGTGGGCTTTCCTGGACGATAACAAGCTCTCTAAGAGCAGGCCAACGGTCCTCTTCCCATACTCCCAATCCTGAAAATGAAAACTGTGTCGCCTTTTGGACGAATTAGCCACCCACCCACCAGAATTTGCCGCAGTAGCTCCACATTAAGACCCCGCTTCGCCCTGCCCCTTTCCTAGCCGTAGTTTGATATCGTTTTAGTCCTTAAAAAAAGCAGCGGAGCATACATGTTTTTAACGGCCTTCATTTCTATCGCTAATAATCTATTTAATGTTGCAGCATCACTTGAGGACCAAACCGGACATAGCAACAGTCGCATCTCCAGCGTACTTACCTCAGCAGGAAAACTGTGGGTCAGTTGCTTGCTTCTTAAAAGAGGCAGGCCTTATTTATGTTCGCAGGTTTTCTTTTGTTAAACGTGTCTGTAAAAGCATGACAGCCTGATGTCCAGCTCGCCCTCAAAGAGCCGAAGATAGCTGAAGTAGCGACTGCAGCGCTGGGATCCTACTTCCTAGAAGAATCTGTCATTAGCATAACGAAGCCCCCATTGGGTAAAATTGCGATGACGTTTTAAGGCCAGTAACTTTCCACGCCCCTTCAGCGGTGTAATTTTCCACATTACACTACTGGTGGTTTATACATATTATACATATTAGCCTAAATACGCGTTCGGACATCATCTCTATCAATATTTGACCTCTTTATAGGATTTTCTGATACATCTCTGCTAAGAGTATCTGACACACAACCAATACCGTCCCACCCGAACGTGATAAAAACGTGAACTGAAACCGTTACATAAAGTTTCTTCTGCGCATGTCTCGGTCTATTAGCAACATTAGCATTTAGCTGTTGTTGACAGCTAAGTGATGTCAGCGGATAGCGGATAACTTTGGGTTAATCGTTCTCTAGTTCTACCAGTATTAGCAACGTGAATATTTATTTTCAGGAAATTTATTATTCTATAATTTAACTACTCAATTCCCATTTACTCTGTGATGGTTATTACAGCATCCTCTCAGCTGTCACGCCCACCTTTGCACCTTTTTGCATCGTAAAGCTTTAAGGATTCGACAAGCTGTAGCCTATATAACGTAAGCGTAAAATTCACAACAACACATTAGGTTGAAATACAACTATACACATTACATTTAATTGTATTTCAGGTAAACACGGGGGATGATAGACCTAAATGACCAGGCTTCTATTCACAGGTCAAGCCCTCGTCATAGATACGCTGAAGATCAGTGTGACAGGACAACATAACATTCCCTGTCAAAGAGCCTATGAAAAAGATAATTATCAGGAGACATGTTAGGTGATTGGCAGAATAGAAAATAGAATGACCATAGAATGGTCATTTTTTGCTTGCCAATTAAACACAGCCAGTCTACAACTTTTAATAGCTTTAATTTATCACTTTGAATCACTACAACTCCCATGCCTTCACTTTAAATTGCACCTGTACTGTGCTATATATATATATATATATATAAAACATAATGTATTGTACTTTAACACAATTTCTTCTAAAATTCACTATAAAGCATAGATTGTCTGCATTTACAAGATGCTATTTATATTTGCTTATGCAAAGTTATATATGTGTGTTATTGATCGGATCTTTGGGATTACGAGTCTAAAAGAGTACAGATAATTTCATAATATTAATAAGATTAATGTCCCCACTGCTATTGCAGCTTGATATCCACTAGATGGAGACAGAGTTTAATCTCCTTGTGGCGTCTATCAATTTGGCAGGCAACCGAAAGAGGCACTAGCTTTAATGTAGTTTTTCACTTTAGTTTTAAGTACGCTTAGTATTAAGTACTACTTAAAAATAAATAATGGCTATTATATATTTGGTAATAATCTAGCCAGTACCCATGACCAAAGAAAGCGCGTGGCCTCAGATCTGGATCAGTTTGATTTCTGCAGTGTGACTGCTCTGCCACCAAACAGTCGAGTTTTCCCACGAGGATTTAATTTAGACTTGTTAAATCCCTTTGTTTCTTTTATGTTGGGGGAAACAAAAGATCCTGTCAGCAAAATGTTCCAACTGCATGTTTACATGTAATTTTACAGTACCGTGCAAAAGTCTTGGGCCCTCCCTAATTTCTTCACATTTTTCTAGGAAAATGAGAAATATCTTCCAACTGGTTTATTGAAACCTTTTCAAAGATACATGGAAATACAGTATATAAGGCAAAAACAGAATATGTACAATTCTAACCAACTTGAAAGTTAATACATGTTATGATCATCTTTGTTCTTCAACACAGCCTGAACACTCTCAGGCTTCTTTAAGGACATTCAAAGCTCTTCTTTGGATTGTTTACTACATTTTGTAATTAATAGCTTTTCAGTAATTGCTGATTTGGTACAAAAATGCTGTCAAATTGTGCTATCTTTGGTTAGATTCAACTAAAGAAATAGGAAGCAGGCTGCTAGTAGCATAAAGATATGATTAAAAATTGCTTATTTACTAAGTTGTATGTCGTGTGTAGACACAACACTGGCTCATCTCTTGAGTTAGTGAGTTTTAAATACTTGAATGATTTATAGGCCAGTGTTAAAGAAGAATTTTAATAAAGTCTGGCTCCTTGGAAGTGAAATAAAAAGAAGTGAGGTGTGGCTCAAGACTTTTGCACAGTACCCTATGCTACAGGTGTTTTCGTTTCCAGTATATAATCCCTGGGGCTAATTCAAATCTCAGCCTAACCTGTCAATCTGGCCAAGGGGAGGGGGTAGTGGTGCTTTCACATGCTCACAATAAAACAAGTTATTCAGCGCACAAATATTTTAGGGTGCACTGTGAAATGGAATAACAGGTAATTAAGCTGACTGATGCCTTTCAACGACTTTCAGTTAATTTTAGATAAAAGTTAACTCACGAAGACGAGACAAAATTAAAGTTGAAAATGCCTTTAATGGTAAGGCATATTAGAATGCATAAAGTCAATTTAAAAAATTGACCAGCGCCATAGCACATGAATACATTTGTTTTCGTTGTTTGTTGTTGTTTTTGTTGTTTTGTTTAAATGTATGAGTAAGTAAGTTTGAAGTCAACAAGAAGTAAAAATAATGAACGAAGTGGCGAACGGACTGCCATGAATAAATGTCAAAGGACTTCCTCCTCACTTCTCTCCGCCCACCAGAAAACGTCACACGTCGTTAACTCGGGTATTAGCGAAAATCTCAGCTCCCCCATTTATCACCCGGCTCTTCATCTGCGTTTTAGTCGGAATTGCGATATTTCCGACTGCATTTCAAAGCCGCATTGGTATTCAATTTTTAAAAGTAGCGCGTCTTTCCGGACAAACAACCCCCCGGGACAAAGTAAGGCTAAAACAAATATGAAACGTCCTGGAAATGTAACCCCAGCGTATGTAGGAACATTTGCTCTGCTGCTTTGCCTGCATTCAGTCACAGGTAAGTTTTGAATAAACGACACGAATCAAAGCGGATTATTGCGTTAACGCAGAACCTAAAAGTTTACTTTGTTGACAGGTCTCTGCCTCTAACACTAGACTCCATTTACTCCTTAAGGGGACTCTGGTGCTGTTTGTTGTATTTTCCATGGCATTTGCTTCCCTTTTCCCCATTATATTGTCAATTCACTGTGAAGCGACCTACTTTGATTGCTTTTTGTTTTTCCTTTTCACATAAATCAACGTAATGCAGGGCGAAAAGAAAACAGCAGATGTACAACAGTAGCCTAAATATCTCAAGTATTTTTACTATTGTTACTTAAGCATTTAGGATTCAGTTTTTTAAATGTGCTCTTTTTTGCCCCCTGAAAGCAGTCAATGTAGACGTATGCCTATGATAATGTGAGCTCATTATTGTCCTGGTAGACTAGGTGATTAAATGTGAGACCGGTCTGTTATTACACGTGATACTCTGTTATTACTAAGCTCTATTCTGAGCAGTGATCATTGTACAAGAAGCGATACTTGCAGTAGTGAACAGTTCTCGTGGTTGTTTTCCCCTTTCTCAGTGGACAGTGTTTCTAGAAATGTCATTATTCTCACAGGCACACTTACAGGTGTCCCTTTAGTTGTCTCTGTGGACATCTACCTGGACTCACAAGGATTTGGTGCAGATGGAAAGGAAATTAATGCCATCTGTGCTCCTGTCTGGGGCCATCACGAACCAGCTGTCCACTCATCTAAATTTAGTTCAACATGCAAATGTGATTTTGTTCTCATGGTGGTTGTGTACATTCAGAGTCCCACCTGTCTGTCAGGTGTGGTGCACATCCTGTCCCACCCCTGAGCTGCTGTATTGTCATGCTGTGTACCTAGTCTGTTATTCAAAGATCCGCATGCTTCTGGAAAACCCAGCTAATCCTGGACATAAACACATTCTGCTGTCAGAGGTTGGCTCATAAAGACATTGGCTCTATCATAGGAACAGCTGTTTTCCAGCTCACGCAGCCTTAGACACTTTCCAGCATTTATTCGGGTTATACTTTTTGAGAATTTAACCACATAAAACTTTATATTGAGTGACATTTCCACTGTATTTGGGGCTATTTGTTATGTGTTTATTCTTCTGATCCGTTTTCATGGCGATTAGTCTCGTAAACATAGATTGTGCTATAATCAAGAATAATACACGTAGGGTTTTGGCCTCACTGCCAAACAAAATGCCAGTAAATTGCAGTTTGTTGTACCTGGAGCTGCTCACAATTTGAATGGTGACTGCTACTGTTGAGTCAATAGACTGGAAAAAGGAAAAAAAGAAAACAAACATAATGAGGTAAAAGTTTTGTAACTTTGAGAGATCTCGTATGACTCATAAGCTTTTGTCCTGCCACTCCCACTGAGGTCTGAGCCATCATTTCACACAATCCAGGCATGATGTGTGACTCAGTGCCTCCCAGCAAAAACTGCGGGAGCACTGATCAGGGCAGAAACTCCAGCAACACCAGGGAAAGATCTCTGTGTTACTCTTTAGATACACCTGACGGCTGTACCCAACCATTTACCATACATTATCTGCAATAGAACTGAACTTTGGGAAATGCAGTGCTATATTGAGTTGGTAGTGCTGAGCGATACCATCTTTTAGACCTGGGACATCAAACAAACTAGAATTATCTGCCAAAGACACCAATTTGGCCCACTCTGCAGGTTGGAATAATGTAAAGGAGGGCATATATTTTGGAGGTTGACAAGTTTTTTTGTTTTGTTTTTTGTTGTTGTTTTTTCACTATCTACTATAGAAATGTGTGCTTTTTGCAGTGGGTTCACATAAATAATATAATTAGAGGACAGTCTATTTCTTAAAATTTAAAACGTTCTTGTTTTAGAGTAAACATTTCGAGATTCGCAAGATCTGCTGCTTCAGTTTTAGTAATTCCTTTCTCCTTAAATTGCTTGTTTGCAACTCCCAGAGTCTCTGAAGATGTCACATCCCTGAGCCTGTTTCTGCCAGAGGTTTCTTCCTGTGGAAAGGGGGGGTTTCCTCCGAACTGTCACCAAGCGCTTGCTCATAGGGGGGTCATCTGAGTGTTCAGGTTTTCTCTGTATTATTGTAGGTTACCATACAATATAAAGAACCTTGAGACATCTGCTGTGATTTGGTGTTATATAAATAAAACTGACTTGAACTGAAGCTGGTAGAGACAATTTTAAATGTACTGTCATGATTTTCTTTTTTGCTATGTAAAGGCTTTCGTTCCATTGAATAAACAACATTTTATTTGGGAAACCTGTGATCACAACACATTAAATAGACTGCTCTTGTACACCAAAGCAGGCCTAAATGTGGCATGCATGTGCAGCCGCGGTGTGAATAGTAAATACTAATAATCGTTGCACTGCCTTTCCTTTATCTCTTTCACTCAGCTGAGTACTGTAAGGTAAATCACTGCTACAATGGAGCAACATGCGTGACTGGAGTAGGAGAGGAACCCTTCATCTGCATCTGTGCCGATGGCTTTGGTGGAGACACCTGTAACCTGACAGAGACAGGTAGAGCTGAAAAGGAAAATTCTGGTGGGAAAGCACCGAAGCACGTACCGAAATTAACACCTTTCTTTTTCCATCTTCAGGACCTTGCAGTCCCAACCCCTGCAAGAACGATGGGTCCTGCGAGGTCATCGCTCCGACCAGACGAGGAGATGTTTTCAATGAGTACATCTGCAAGTGCCAGCCCGGCTTTAAGGGAGTGCACTGCCAGATCAGTAAGTTACTTCTGGCTATGAGTCAAAAACCTGAACTGAACCCTTTTTGTCTTGTGCATCTATAAGACTACATGCTGTACTCCAGAGGACATCTAACTCCTTATTCCATGAATTTTAAAACAATTTCTGGTCACTTAATGTTGACATAAAAGATTTAACGTTTAGGAATGGGTTGCATTCTAATTAAAGTAGTATTTTTTAGAGAACAGCTTACCCAAAAATGTGAAAAACACAGTAGCAAGCTCCACTTTCAGCAGATTTCTCTAGAAGTTTTAACACAAGGAGTTTTTTCTTCCGGTCACATCTTCGGCAATGAAAGGGATGTGTAGTCCGCTCAGCAGCTTCATGAAAGGAGCCCATTCAGTGGCTTCTGTGGTTATTCTGTTTGGCTAATTAGTAAAAGACCACTCCAAGTCTCTTAGCATGCAGATGCTTCTCACACAGGGTCAACATTGCATCTATTTTAACCCAGTCAAATGAATAGTGAATTCAGTCATATCCTCATAGTAGAATCCAATACAAGTTTGCTTGTAAAATTAGCATTAAAACATGAGGATTATTAGTGGAGCAAATGCATGAGAAAATAACAAAAAGGAAGCTAAACTTAGGATGGGTTTTGTTTGTGTGTGTGTGTGTGTGTGAATATTATTTCTAGACACCTCTGAGCAGTGTCTGACATCCTGAACTGTGAATCTGGAAGCAAAAATGATGAAAAAGATATAATGTATAAACCTTCTGATTCAAAGTCTTGCATAACTTCGTGAAGAGGCTTTTTTTCCCCTCTTTTCCTCTTTTTGTGGAGGAACAGCTCACCCTCCCAAAGCCCACGCTCTGACCACCAATTGTAGTGTTGGTGCAGTCTGGTCGTCTACTCCCATATTTTCTAATTTTGAACCAGGCAGACAAT